GTTAATGGCCAGCAAATAAAACATCTGCGGCATTTTACCACTCCGGACAGGTGCGTTGGGTATTTCTCTCGACTGCCCACTGTCAACGATTTCCGTATGTCAACAGCGTCAGGATAGCTCGCACATGTACATTGAATGCATATTATAAACAACTGCGTACAATTATGCATACAATATTGCTGTCAGACGACCTGAAGACATTTTCATGCTCCAGGTCAGCGAGCTTTCGAGTGGAAATAACCCCGGCGGAGTGGCAGCAGCTGCCCGCTCCTCCTCCCCTCCCTCCCCGCCTGTCAGCTCCAGCAGATTCGGCCTCCATGTATGCCAGTAAAAACACGAAATGTCAACGTAAGCCGTTTACAGCACGGAGAACCGAGACCGGCTCTGTTGATAACCATACTCGATCCGAAAAGACAGCAGGCAAGCCCGGTAGAAATACTCACAAAAAACACCGCGGTGGGAAAATGTCTCCGGTTCTCCAGGAACAAGTCTGGGCAGAGTCGACTCCCACAATCCACAGCGAGCGAGCCTGCTGCCCGCCGAGGGATGCAAATACTGGGGATGATCTTTAACCCTTTGCACCTTCACTTTGTCCAAGAAAACACGTGGTTCAAGCTGGAAATGCTGACTGTTTTGGTTCCAGAGCAGATCGATGCTATCTCAAACATTAAGGGTTCGGGAATTTACATTATTCAGCGTATGTTACAGTAGGTTACGTCAAACTGTTTTGACCAGGGGTGTCGCTAAATCTTGGCAACTTGTGCAAATATTCCCCCAACCAACCCACACATAGCCTATCCCCATGTTTGATTAACACACAAACTTAGATGTTACAACAATGTGTTTTACTGGTCATTATGACTGAATTGTATTTTAATCTTATTTTCATTTTTTATTTTTGTATTCCTGTTTTATTCAGTCCTGCTGACAAAAAGCTAACACAACGCTGTGTGTTAAACTTGCTGACATGAATTTGCTTTATGGTCTTGCTTGTTAAGTAAATCACCAAATAGTGATCAGTTGACACTCAGGTAGGATGGTTTCTTCATTTAAGGGGTCATTAGAGTGTTATCAATTTAGTAATCAGAAAAGTAGATTTTATCTGTAGCCCCTATTGGTATTTATGTCACTAGACATTTTCTAATGAGTCCTGTGTTTGCCAAAAAACACAAGATGCTGAAAAAGGGCAAAAGTGTCACTTACTTTTCAAGATTCCCTGTTAGCCATAACTATACTGACAGTAATCCAACATGCAAAATACCAGGACTTGAAACTAAAGCAGCTAAGCATTAATTGTATTATTTGTTTACTCCTGGGTTTTCCCCATGGTTTTCCCACACATCTAAAATACCTGTTGAAATGTGTGTCTAATAATTAAAGTATAACATATTCAACATATTATTTTACGTCTCGTATGTCCCACACATTTAACCAATCAATAATGCAAATACAAATTGTAATGTATTTCCTTATGTCAGGTTAAACTCAATGCAATGTCAAATAAGTCAGCCTTTTATTTTGAAGGCAAGTCTCTTCTTATAAATGATAAGGATATACAATCAAAGAACACAGTTGAACACAAATCCTGAGTAAACTTCAGTCCTGAAATTCAACACATGAATAACAAAATCGGTCATGATAAATCTAAATCAAGACACAGGGTCCTTCTCACTTCGGTTAAATTAAATACTTGCGTCCCTCACTTGCGTCGTTTCCCTGCGTCTAGTCCCTCCCACCAGGGAAGCATGGAGAGATGCAAGGAAACCACGAGAAGCAGGGAAATGAGTTTTAAGAGCAATGGGACGTCCTTTCCTCCGGAGCGTCACGTGAAGCGACGTCCGTTTGTGATGACGCTGCACAGCTGATCGTCTGACAGCAGCTCTGTCTCGGTTATTTCCACACACCCCCCCGCCTCTGTTAGTACACATTTACTGACACAAACATTTGTATCATCTGTTGGAGACCCCAATAAATAAAATAAAATAAGAACTAATTCTCAAAAAAGATAAACACCATTCTTAAAATGTATAAACGAACAATAGTTTGATTAATATTGATTAGAGTGCACAATAGAAATAAAATAATTGAGAGAAGAAAAAGAGATATGTTATCTATCAAAACCCAGTTAGATTAACATTCATTGGATTGCACACTTTGTTTGTTTGTTTGGATATGTAGCAAATTAACATTTTAATAGCACTTAATGACTGACTGAATGGTAATGACAATAAATGAAAATGTAAAACGAAAAAAGCGATCATGAAAATGTTTCCAAAAAATGAATAAAATGATTTTTGCCCACTTTGTTGTTCAGATATATCACATATTTGTAACTAAATGATACATGAATTGAAACAAAACACGGTATAAACTGAGGAGTGACTCCCGTGAGGTTCACGTGTTTTCTTCACTCCGCTGGGAAACTGCTCTCATGTCAAGAAGCATCAGATCAGTGCATGCACTGCCTCGTCCAATCAGTGAGCGATACACAGTAAGGGGCTGGGCGAGTGTCTGAGGATTTCATCGGAGGATGGTCTGGTGGTTCCTCGGTTATAGCTCCTCCATTATCGCTCCTCGATCCTCGGTCCTCCGGCAAAAATAAGGCCATTGGGACGCTACTCAAGATGGCGCAGACAAATCAACTTCCGGTGAGACCGAGACCGAGGAGCGAGGAAATAAAAATAAGAGAAGTGAGAAGGGCCCACAGTCCAGGCTTTACAGCCCTCAGTGTGGCTGTGAAGGGTGAGTGACAGATTTATGCCAAAACCCAGCAGCACACTGATGCAGTGGCAACAGTTTTACACCAGAGGTCAGACCAGAGCAGTGCATTAAAGCCCAGTATACAGTTTTTTATTTAAAACACATTTTATGCAGGAGGACTAAGCTGAAAATGAATGAACTTGCTGTCTTTGCCTCATGCAGACTACACACCTTGTATCTGTGGGAAGAATGCAGTTTTTTCTTTATGGATATTTTACAAATCACTCCCCTTTCAAACTGTATTCTTGTTTATTAATAACAACTTTTTTTTAGTGTCATTTATACCAGTTTTTCCTTTATTCTTTTTTATTACACTATAACTCTATATTATTATATCATTATTATTCCTATATATTATTTTATTTTTTTATAACTATAATGATCATATAAATATGTGCCTTTCCCTCACTGGTTGTAGAAAAAGCTTCTTATATTCTTTAGCATAGCTAGCTAACCAGATGAACAGATCGCCACTGGGCTTACAACTAAAGACACAGCCACGCAAAAACTGCGGCATGTGCACTACAGCTCCTTATTATGGAGTCAGATTTGAGTCAATATTCTAGCGCGTAAAACAAGCTACTCACGAGCGGAAAATGTGCTTCTACACGCACATAAAATTACCCTTGCGCGCAGATTAAACCGCCGCGAGCGGCTCTGCGCTCGCTCGCGAGAGAGACAGCCCTCTTGCTCGCTCGCGGGAGTATCAGCCTCGCGGAGTCTGTCTACGCGCGCGTGAAAAGTTTCTGGCACTTTGGGGCGGAGCCACTGGACTTTGATTGACAGCTGCCAGGAAACCCGGAGTTGCCAGGTTTGATAAATGCCTGAACTACCAAGAGCCGAGGAAATCTCGTCCAACTGATTTTGCTGCCGTCACTCCTCGGCTCTTGGTAGTTCAGTCATTTATCAAACCTGGCAACTCCGGGTTTCCTGGCAGCTGTCAATCAAAGTCCAGTGGCTCCGCCCCAAAGTGCCAGAAACTTTTCACGCGCACGTAGACAGACTCCGCGAGGCAGATACTCCCGCGAGCGAGCAAGAGGGCTGTCTCTCTCGCGAGCGAGCGCAGAGCCGCTCGCGGGGGTTTAATCTGCGCGCGAGGGTCATTTTATGCGCGTGTAAAAGCACATTTTCCGCTAGTGAGTAGCTTGTTTTACGCGCTAGAATATTGACCCAAATCGGACTCCATACTTATAGGTACTGCAATTTTTGAAAGTTAGGGAGCGACGTTCTTGTGCTCTCCGGCATAACTGCACCCCTGTCAGACGAGACGGTAACACTTTACAATAAGGTACACAAAATGTGCTTAGTTACTGCTTAGTTACTGAGGAACTACTAGATAGTTAATGGTTAGTTAATGAGTAGTTCCTCAGTGACTGCGATTGAGGAACTGATGGTTAGTTACTGGTAAACAGACTGGGGGTACTGTATTAACGAATCATTCGTTAATGGTTAGTTAATGAGTAGTTCCTCAGTGAACTTATGGTTAGTTACTGGTAAACAGACTGGGGGGTACTGTATTAACGAATCATTCGTTAATGGTTACTTAATGAGTAGTTCCTCAGTGACTGCGATGGATGGTTAGTTAGTTACTGGTAAACAGACTGGGGTACTGTATTAATGAATCATTCGTTAATGGTTACTTTATGAGGAGTTCCTGGGAGACTTTGATTGAAGCAATGGTCCGCTGCAGCAGGGCACATTTAAACCTGCCATCTTCGGCTGGCTTGGGTCCCACCCTGGATCAACTGGTGGAGGTGGATCCGATTTACCTTACCATTACTTAGGCCGTTTGGGTATGGTAAACTCAAGGAACGCAAACAAAAACAGTAGTTACCCATTACCTAATGATTACCTTACCGTTACTAAAACAGTAGTTACCCATTAAGTAATGCTTACCTTACCATTCGTTAAGCAGTGTGTGTCCCCTCAAGTAAAGTAATGCATGAAAAACAGTAGTTACCCATTACCTAATGCCTACTTAACCATTCGTTAAGCATTGTGTGTCCCCTCAAGTAAAGTAATGCATCAAAAACAGTAGTTACCCATTACTTAATGCCTACTTAACCATTCGTTAAGCATTGTGTGTCCCCTCAAGTAAAGTAATGCATCAAAAACAGTAGTTACCCATTACCTAATGATTACCTCACCATTAGTTAAGCAGTTTAACAAACAAACAAACACTGTTGATGACAATGACGGATCTACAGCCACTGAAGTTTTACATTTTTATTCAAACAACGATGAACATAACAACAATTAGCCTGAAGTTGAGGAAGGTCTGCAAGAGTGCAATCAAGAGGAGAGAAAGGAGGGGAAAGCAGAGACTTGGAGGACCAAACGAATTTGTCATGCTGGACGAAAGCAACTTCTACCACAAAAGGAAGGTGTGTATAAACTACAGAGCCTTAGCCTTTGGCCTCACTAAAACTAAAACCTTTGTTTTTCAAGGTGAAATAACAACATATATTTTAAGGTCAGAGATTAACAAATGAATGAGCAAAGTAATGTAATTGTATAATTGTGTCATTCACACCCTTGTGACTGGCGAGACAAAGTATACATTAGAGAGAGCCAGCTCCACAGTGTATACACAGTCAAATAACAGAAAAAAAGAATTTAGAAGCTAAGAATTATCTCATCCAATCAGATCATTAAAGATGGGGTAGGTAAGTTTCAGAAACCGGCTCGAGATACACTTTTTGTTATATTCCATGGAATGCTCTTAACATCCCGATAGCAATGAATATCTTAAGTGCTTTGACAATAAATTTAAAAAAAATGTCCTCTGTAGAAGCCGTAATACTGTAAAAAGTACATCCAATCCGGCTAAACGGATTGGATGGCCTACCTGCCTGTCAGCCTTCCATCGGGGCACAAACTTATCTCGTGCCCTCATTGGTCATGTGCGCGTTCGTGTGTGTTGGAGGAGGGGCTCTGTGAGGAAGGGGCAGATTTTCTCCGGTTGTGTATTTTCAAATTCTAGCGATCTCGAGCTGGTTTCTCCAAAATGACCTACCCCACCTTTAAGGAAATAAATCCTTATTCTTACTTTTTATTACTAACATTTTAAAAGTGCATAATCTTATTTATATATCATCTAATTACAATATCTATCTTACATTTTCATGTTTCTTGCAGCAAAATAAGCAAACTTTAACTTAATAAAATTAAACAGCCTTTTCTGTTTGTACCACTACATTTTAATTTGTTTCTCTTCTTTTTTGAGAAAGGAAGTGAATATTTTTAAATTGTAAAAGAAAGCAAATAAACACATTTCACTTTGTTTATCAATTGAAATTCCTGATGTTTATTTTTATATAACTGTGTTGTCCTTTTTCACTGCTTTATTACAGTATGGTAGGGGAAGATTCGGTCCTACGTGGAGGAGGAGAAAATGGGTCTTTGGAATGCTGGGCATCAGAGGAAAAAGGAGAAGACCTATCCTGAGGCTGGTGAAACAAAGATCACGGCGCCACTTAATTCCTCTGGTCACAAAATACGTTCGCCAAGGGACCACGGTGATAACGGACATGTGGAGGGCATACACCACTGCAATCGCAGAAAGTGGCTTTGTCCATTTCTCTGTGAACCACAGCCGGTCATTTGTGAACCCAGACACAGGAGCCCACACCCAAAACATTGAGCGGGCTTGGTCAACGTACAAGTCACAGGTCTGGAGACTGCGAGGAAACCGCACAGTGAAGACTCTGAAGAGTCATCTTGCTTTGATCGAGTGGACACATTGGCTGGCAAATGAACACAAAGATGGTCCCTTAGGCAGATTGCTGCATGACATACGCCACTTTTGCAAGTTCTGATGCAACCTTGTTTTCATTATTAGTGTCCTTTGGATTGTTGTTTAAATAAAAATGTAAACTTGAGTGCACAGGGTTTGTTTATTTGTTTACTGCTTAACGAATGGTTAAGTAGGCATTAGGTAATGGGTAACTACTGTTTTTGATGCATTACTTTACTTGAGGGGACACACACTGCTTAACGAATGGTTAAGTAGACATTAGGTAATGGGTAACTACTGTTTTTGATGCATTACTTTACTTGAGGGGACACACAATGCTTAACGAATGGTTAAGTAGGCATTAGGTAATGGGTAACTACTGTTTTTGATGCATTACTTTACTTGAGGGGACACACACTGCTTAACGAATGGTTAAGTAGACATTAGGTAATGGGTAACTACTGTTTTTGATGCATTACTTTACTTGAGGGGACACACAATGCTTAACGAATGGTTAAGTAGGCATTAGGTAATGGGTAACTACTGTTTTTGATGCATTACTTTACTTGAGGGGACACACACTGCTTAACGAATGGTTAAGTAGACATTAGGTAATGGGTAACTACTGTTTTTGATACATTACTTTACTTGAGGGGACACACACTGCTTAACGAATGGTTAAGTAAGCATTACTTAATGGGTAACTACTGTTTTAGTAACGGTAAGGTAATCATTAGGTAATGGGTAACTACTGTTTTTGTTTGCGTTCCTTGAGTTTACCATACCCAAACGGCCTAAGTAATGGTAAGGTAAATCGGATCCACCTCCACCAGTTGATCCAGGGTGGGACCACCAGCCGAAGATGGCAGGTTTAAATGTGCCCTGCTGCAGCGGACCATTGCTTCAATCAAAGTCTCCCAGGAACTCCTCATAAAGTAACCATTAACGAATTATTCATTAATACAGTACCCCAGTCTGTTTACCAGTAACTAAGCATTAGTTCACTCAGGAACTCCTCATTAAGTAACCATTAACGAATGATTCATTAATACAGTACCCCAGTCTGTTTACCAGTAACTAAGCATTAGTTCACTCAGGAACTCCTCATTAAGTAACCATTAACGAATGATTCATTAATACAGTACCCCAGTCTGTTTACCAGTAACTAACTAACCATCCATCGCAGTCACTGAGGAACTACTCATTAAGTAACCATTAACGAATGAGTCGTTAATACAGTACCCCCCAGTCTGTTTACCAGTAACTAACCATAAGTTCACTGAGGAACTAACCATTAACGAATGATTCGTTAATACAGTACCCCCAGTCTGTTTACCAGTAACTAACCATCAGTTCCTCAATCGCAGTCACTGAGGAACTACTCATTAACTAACCATTAACTATCTAGTAGTTCCTCAGTAACTAAGCAGTAACTAAGCACATTTTGTGTACCTTATTGTAAAGTGTTACCGACGAGACATAAGAGGCTTCTCAATTCTTAAATTTCCCCTCCTCGAGACTTGGTGCCGCCCACAGTGTAATTGTGTTTATTTTGCTATATATATATATATATATATATATATATATATATATAGGCGCTATATATATCTTATTATTAATACATCATTGGAACGGTACCTCCAGTAGGCTATGCCTACATGACAAGCATTTTTATAATATACAGTAAACATATCTTTGACTTGTTGCAAAATTATAAAATGAAATTCACCCCTGCTGTCATTCTGGCTTTCACTGTTTAAATGAGATGTCAACCATCAAAATGGGATAAGGGGTTCCAAGGGGTTCTCAAACGGATAGGTTATTAATTTATTTGCCTAATAGTTGCAATAACAATAACAATAACATGCCATGTACGGTCTCTCAGCCACCGTAGGCGGCGTAGTAGGGGGCGTGTCGTGTAGTGTCGTCAATTCGCTTTTCATCTGCCATGCCTCTGCCATGCCTCTCAGCCACCGTAGTGTCATGTCAGGTGGCCAAATCATGTGAAACCCAGATTTGGCACAAAAAAGGGGGAATACACGTTTCGCAATTATGCCACATCAAGGTGGAACGCTCTTCCCACAACTGTAAAGGAAAGTAAAACTATACTTACCTTCAAAACCTCTCTTAAAGAGCACCTTCGGGGGAGAGCATTGCAAAACTGGCCCCGGTAATGGTACAAATCTCAACCTGTCGTACAATGGACAGCTTCCCCCCCCCCCCCCCCCATCTATGTATATAGGCTACTCGCATTTTAGACTCTGTTACTAACTGTATATCTGTAGACTTGGTATGTCTTAAATGTCCGGTTAGGATGTATTAGAACGAAATCTAAAATGAAAATTGTAAATAAGCAATCTGTATGTAAAAAAACACCTGCATGTAAATTGTAAATAAGCCATCTGTATGTCAAATATGTCTTATATGTCTTAAATGATATGATGAATTGGAAATGGGGGACCCTGATGTAAACAAGACGAAAGTCTTTCTCTGGTCTGCATCCCCTTAACAATTGTATGTTTTGAGCTGTACTGTACTGTACCCAATATACAAGCTGTTAATAAAGTTTTCAATCAATCAATGAGCGGTCATTTTAAAGAGACGTCCATTAATGATGACAGGAGGCACAGCAGCCCTCTGTCTGATGGACAGATGTGTTCATGACGACTTATATATTTACTTTGAATTCATTGAGAGTGCGGTATAATGATACAATAACAGGCTACAGATGCGGACACACACACACAAATATATTTATATAAATATATACAATTTAAAGTATGAGAGCACTCTCATAATAACGTAACACAATCAGAGACTGGATATATCCCCCCCCCTCTCTCTCTGGTCGCTGAAATGGGGAATTGAAATTATGGGCCAAAAGTTGTATTTACAAATATTAAAAGTAAGCATAGGACACCAAACCAACTGAGACCCGTCTATCCGCTGCATCTACGCACTGTACAACACACACCTTTGTTACAGATATGGGCATCTGTTAATGCCTGTTATATAGTGACGCCTGTTGGCGCTTTAGTAAACTGCATGCTGACACAGGCTTACACTGTGCAGTAGGCTACTATATCCGCAAGCGCGGGAATATACATGTGATGGAGTTGTGAGTTAGGGAATAAAGCTGCAGACTGAAACATGGTGTCAGAAGCGGTCTTCTTGGACTAAAAGCTCAAGAAAACTCACGTCATGATGACAAACAGTATTCCGGCACCCGAGGGCATGCATAAGTCTGGTGATATACAGTGGCGTTTTTATATGTACAAAAGTGGTGGGGCACAAAAAACTTAGATGTCTATATATAAGCTTCTGCAGTGAGGTTCATGGCTGGTGAGGCTCTGAGTCTTCAGGTTTACAAATATTATATTTTGACCTAAATCAAAATATAATATTATTTTCAAAAGCTTTTTTTGTCTGATGCTTCAATTAATTTTAAACAGACAGTTCAACAAAAGGATACCCAAAAAATGTAATTGTATCATTTAAATATTGAATTGTTCTCTCTTAGTAAGATCCCATTTTCAATCAAATTGCAGTCTTACCTTGACATGAAGATGAAGTCCATTTGCCTAACCTTCTGGACAAAAATCTCTATTACTTTTTTGTAAAAGTCCTCCTTATGTTCTTGTAGTTTCAAAAGTCTATCATAAATCTGATCTAATCAATAGATTTATGATTCGAAAATTATAAAAGTAGGGTAGACATGTGGATATTATCCGGCTGAACAAAACGTGCATTTATCTAACAGGTTTGTTTCCCACAGATCTTATTTTGAGCTATTTTCTAAAATCCTATGGAGAAATATCATTGCTTTTTTGTGGAGGGAAGCCATGCGCAGTTTATTTCCTGGTTTTAGGACGCCTCACTGCAGCTCTCTCTCCTCCTCTTCACACACCACACTTTTCGCGGCACACGTACTTACAGCCAATCAGCTCTGAATGATGTGAGATGACGTATGGTGGGGATGGCAGCACTATGCCCCTCTGGTCATTATTTTTTTGCCACACACATTAAATAGGACAATACTCTGAGCATGCGCAGTGTAGTTTTTACAGTCACCATTGACTTAAACAGGGAGAGGGAGGGGCAGGATCGGGTTTTGTCCCACATGGCTCTAAACAGCTCAATAGGCACACACTGTAGACACTAATTAGAAGAACACAGACTAAAACAGCAATGTACAGACGAATCAGATGAATAAACATGATCTTAAAATATATTTTATATATTTTTTAATTTATCTTTTGCATTTTTTTGTAATCATTACTTTTAATACTTTCTGCTGACACTAGGTGGGGCTGTGCCCCACCTGCCCCTAATGACCAGTCGCCACTGGTGATATAGACTTTTTGCTCGCTACAGGTCTGACCGAAAAGACGAATGCGGTGCAGGCAGCCACACTGAGACGGCTTATCGAGTGCCGGTGTTGTGTCACATTATGCCTCCCCGTCATGAAATGCCCCCCTTGTAACGGGAACGCGCATTTCTAAATGACACGTTTACACCTCTAAATGACACGTTTACACCTTAAAACGATGTTTAAAACGAAAAGTAAACGTTCAGGGTTTTTATTAATGGTAATTTTCAGACTGTGAGTTGTTTAGTGGTAGCAGTCTTGATTCTTCTGGTTTAACTTTTCGCTCCGTATTCGAGGTGTCGAAATTCATTCGTCACTTTGTTTTTTTAAATCTTTTTTTTATCATTATTGTTACGTCCTGTCTGTATAAACGTGCTTTAAAATGTATTGTTTAATTTTACATAGTTGTCATCTAATAATCAAAATATGTTTACAAATGTTACATCTTTGTCAGCATATTATTATATACGCTATGCGTACAAACTAAAAGTGTGACATTCATGAAACCTGCTCCATTTATTGGTACCAGTCCTAGAACCATACCCTGAAAAATGCTTGAGGGTGGGATTCTTAGAAACCTCTTTTTTGGGGGGGGGGGGGGGGGGGGGGGGGGGGGGGGGGCATTTTATGACAGGCCTGTCCATCATCCATGCGCGTTCCCGTGACAAGGGGGGCATTTCATGACGGGGAGGCATAATGTGACACAACACCGGCATATATATATGCATAACGTCACGCTGACCGAGGAACAAAAGAAAGACCCCAAAACAATTTTGGATGA